AATTCACACTTATGTGACTTATGGTTATAATAGAATACACTTACCAGAGGGTTAATATACCAGTATCTATACTTAGAGAGATTTAAAAACCTAAGTGTTACCTAAGGCAATTACCTCAAAGACCCCTAATATCTTCAGGGAAAAGCCACAGGGAGCCCTGGCTGGTGTAGCTCAGTAGATAGAGCACAGGCCTGTGAAGCAAAGGGTCACTGGTTCAATTCCCAGTCAGGGCACATGCCTGGGTTGCAGGCCAGGTCCCCAGTAGGGGACACATGAGAGGCAACCACACTTTGATGTTTCTCTCCCACTCTTTCTCCTTCCCTTCCCCTCTCTCTAAAAATAAATAAATAAAATACATTTATTAAAGCCATAGGGAGAATAATTGACTTTGCTAATTTTACCCTTAGCAATTATAGAAGAGCTCTGAGTGCCATAGGACTACAGAATACTTCATCTAATTATCTGTCCCAGAAGTACAGAAATACACATATAATACAGAAATGCAGACAAGACTCCAGTAGCACAAGAAAATGGAAAATTGAAAGAAGTCATAAAAAATTAAAGTTGCTACAAATATGCTAGCTTTAATTACCAAGTTAAGTACACACACTCAAAGAAAAAGCAGGTTGTCAGAAAAAACTGACATACTACTGCACATACACAGAAATTCTGTATTAAGTTCTGCCTGCTCACTCACTGCTGTGGTCTCTATTTACATTGCTATTGCTGATAATTTTTCTTTCTTATAAAAGAAAATAAAGACATCATTAAAGAAAAATCTAACTTTACCAAGACATTAACTATATGTAGAGAACTTAAAGAACTTAATGCTGCTTCAAAGAAATATTCATCACCACCTCCTCCCTTCCTCTCCAAAAACCTTATTAACGGTTAGTGTTATACTCAATCAACTTAAGCTTCTGGGAACTCATCTGATAAAGTAACTGAGATATAATATAATAACTTAGATATAACTTCACTTTCCTAAAAAACATATTCTGATGGGAATACCACCAGTATTTAAATGAAAGGAACTGGTTTTGGATACAGAAGATTTGCTTTATCAAAGAGAATTCTGGACTTTCAAGCACTTCAGTTGCCCTTTACACTGTCCTCTATTTAAATACTTTTCAAATGATTTAGAAATCACATATTATGATTAAAAAGGGGGTACTAAAAGCCTAGAGTTGTGGAAGATCCATAATAGACCCCTGGTCATGGTGTTCAAGGTCTATCACAAAAAGTGAGCCAATGAAGCTTCTTTTGAAATGGACATTACAGAGCCTTCAATGCCCCTTTGGAGAAAAAGGTGCAAAAGATCCCTGTTTTGGAAGTACAGGACAGTTGCAGAGAATAAAGTAAAAAGCTTCAAGTCAGCACACAACTATCAAATTTTTAAAAATACCAAGGCAAGAAAAAAAAAAAAAGGAAAGAAAATTCCTCACCAGATGAAGGTCAATAAAATGCAAATCTACCACGAAGACACAGGACTCACTGAAGAGGAAGTAAATGCCTGGTCATTTTTATTTCAAGAAGCTTCAGGCTGAACTGTTCCCTGCATATGTTAAGTTTTTGTTTTTTGTTTTTGTTTTCTGTAAATCAAGTAGTGCTAATGAAATCCAGTACCTAATGGAGCAGATGGTGGAGGTCTCAGATTTTGGAACATTTATAGTGATGCATCTGAATGCAAAACACCAAGAGTGGTTTTCACAGACTGTGAATCTGATTTGATTTTGATGGGAGCAAAATCTCCATTTTCTCTAAACTTGAAGCATGCTGAAAAAAAGAATGTGTGAATGATACAAGCTAAGAAAAAGGAGCACATTAAATATTATTCCCATAAAGTGAAGTGGTTAAAGCAAGTGAATACTTGTCTGTGTCATTATAGCATGATTACATTTATACTTAATACCACCATCTTTATCATATATAATATTTTGTCAGAATAGCTTAAAGTACGTTAAAATTGATGACTGGAGAAATCGGAAATTTATCCAAAGGCAATAAGCCTCAGTTTAAGGCAGGGGCCAGGCTGAGTGCCCATTACTAAAGTGTGGACCTAGTTACCCTGTCCAAAATAGCTCTTTCTCTCAGGTATGCGGGTCTACCCCATGAGTGGCCAGTGTCTGGCTAGAGCCAGTCACGTGCAGTTCACGGTGCTCACAAACTAGATTAGACCTGCACTTTCTGAGACCTCCCCCTTCCCCAAGCCTCAAAGTTCACCACTGACCACAGCAGGCCAGGTAAAGAGGAAAGATGGGTGGTGCAGCCAGACACGGGCTTCCAGGGACGATAGGTCACTAACCTTCCACTAACCTGTAAGTTCCAGGAAAGGAGAGAATTTAATGAGACCCACCGAAGTAGACTATGAACACAAAAAATAGAATAATTTGAGCGTGATTAAAAAGAAAAGGAATGCCAAAATGGTAATAAATCTCTGGAGGGATATTTGAGAGGATCCATTTATATGGTGATTCATTTTTTCCTTTAGCTTCATCTTCATTGTAAATATGAACTATGTATTAAAGGTTCTGTTCTACTTTCTCCCTAAGACTTAGAAGGTCTGTTTCATGAAAAATATGTGCTAGCCAAAAGAGTGATGAAAAGGCAGGACACGAAAGCTCCTGGTCTATCATTACCTCTTCTCCCTGCATCTTCAGGATTTTGGCCAGACACAGGACTCCCACAGTAACAGTTACCCTTCCCGGCCTCCTGTACAGCTAGGTGTGCCCATGTCATTAAATTCTGACAATAAGATGGAAACAGAAGGATCTTGAATAACTTCTTAGAAATGTCTTTAAAATGGTGACCCTACATAATTTATCATCCAAACTGGGACATTTGAGAGTAAAAGAGTGTGGTAAAATTATTATAATATTATACTTTTTGAAATGTATACTTAAGAACTAGTAACTGACTTTATTATATTGGTAGACTTGTTAACTAGTTGCAGTCAAGAACTATTTGCAAAAATAAAATTTCAAAAGAAATAAAAATAACATATATTCCCACACAGTAAAATAAAATAAAAAAGAACTTCATATTGATGAGCTGACTATAAAAAGTAGCCAGTAAAATAATTATTCTTGGTTCACATGTTTTAATTTCTCAATCATTCTTTCCCTAATATTGTGTCCCTGGCATTTTTCTTAAAAATGTAATTTTTAAAATGTGGTATTTTAAAATAAAACTGCCGGCAATATTCTTCATAGTTGCATTTTAGGATTAATTTGAAATTATTGGTAATTTCAATTGATTCTGATTCACAAACCATTATAAATACACACACATATGTATATATGTATTTATTTATGTCCACACCCGAGGACATGTTTATTGATTTTAGAAGGGGAAAGGAGAGAAACAACAAGGTGAGAAGAATGTCTGTTGCTTCTTGTATGCTCCCTAACTGGGAACAGAACCCACGGCTTTTAGGTCCATGAGATGATGCTCTAGCTGAGCTACATGGGCCAGAGCGGTCCATAGTGTTTTAAACTGAGAAAATGCTCTTCTACAGGTTCTGAGTTACCTGGCAAGCTCAGAGCTCTTTTGTAAATGCAGGAGATACTCAATTCTAATTTTTCATATAGAAAAGTACAACCATTTCAGGTTGAATATTTTCAAGATACTACTTTTTTGTGTCCTTATGAGTACATTTCTTTGACAAATATTTTTATAAGAAAAAAACTTGTTAAATAAATCATCTCTTATGACTCTTCTTTAAAAAGATTTTATTTATTTATTTTTAGAGAGGGGAAGAGAAGAAGAAACAGAGGGAGAGAAACATCAATGTGTGGCTGCCTTTGGAGCACCCCCAGTTTGGGACCTGACCCGCAACCCAGCCATGTGCCCTGACCGGGAATCAAACCAGCAATCCTTCGGTTTGCAGGCTCATGCTCAATTCACTGAGCCACACCAGCAAGGGCTCTTATGACTCTTAAACGTTTTACCAAAATCAGATGCTGCAAAATCTAGGCCTTCTCAACTTTATTTCATTCATGTGTAATGTATAATTTATTCAAAACAGAGGCACTACCAAAAGATTCTTCCTGCAAGGTAAGATACTACAAATCACAACTATAGAAATGCAAATTTTATTTTTGTGTAGGATTTTAATTCTTACTATTTATTTTGTTCTGTTCCTTCCTTGCTTATGTATGAAAAAATCCCAATGGAAGCTTTTTATTTATTGTAATTCTCTAACTTGGTGTTCCATTTCTTGAATTCAATATAAGATTTCCCACTGATTTTGAACAAAATGCCACCAAAATTTTAACAACTTGTGACAAAATTCAATACCACTGTTCGATATAAAAGTTTGTAAATCTGACCAATGATGGCAACAAAGAGAGAAGGCACATACAGCCATGCTGGAGCACATTTCTGTATTCGGCACCATCTACATCCCAAATCTTTGGGGTCCAGAGACTCTGGCCACAAAGATATTTGTAAATTTTTATAACAATAGCTTCTATTTCAATTACTAAAATGTTGACACTTGTCTGGATGCCACTGTGAGTCACGGATGTGCCACAACCCATTCCAACTACTCCCCAGGGTTCTCAGTGTGGTACAAACATTGTTTCCACCACAACACTGTGTGTGCTTCAGCAAAATTTGTACTTTTATTATTACAAACTAATAATTTTATCTTTGATGTTGAAGCTTTAATCTGAATTTCCAATTTTACTTATAATGACTTTAGAATATACTTCAAAAGCTTTACCTTAATTTCATGAATGGATGGAGAAAACAAATATTTTTAGAATGAACTAAAATAATTTAATAACTTGAAGTACCCAATGACACTCAACTAAAACAAGAATTATTGAACTATTTGCAAAGTTCTTCTAGCAATGAATCTAAAAACATAACATTATTGATTCCCTTTTCCTATGTGCATTAAAAAACTTGAAGTTGAAAGGGAGTAAAATTAACTTAGAAGAATAGTCATTTATCTAAATACAAGTTAGACTTCACAGAGTGGAACGCATGTATACCTTCTGAAGCTGCATGCGTTCCACCATCACTTTCAGAATTCTTCCTCGGGTAACCACTAACTTTGGACGCAGCCCCGGACACTTTTTCAGCAGAGTTGACTCTTCCTGTGTTTCCATGAGTTGAGTGATGCCACAACAGACAGGAAATGTCAACAGATATTTTGTGCAAGTTACACGTCCCTTAGCCACTCTTTCTCTCTTGAGAAACCAGTATTTTTTAAAAAATGAAATATATACTTTTATTTTTTGAGCTTACTGCTGTCAAAGGTTTATTGCAAAAACAAAGTGTTGCCAAATACTCAAATACCGTATTTTGAGGTGTATAATGTACACTGATGTTTTTGGTCCAAAGTTTCAGGAAAAAACCCTTTCATTCTAATTTTTAAATCCAATTATTTATTTATTTGTATTTAGAAACAAAACTATCGTATTCCAATGTATTATTTTGCATATGGATATTGTTACTGCTTTCTAGAGTTATACTTTTAACACATAACAATAAATAAAAGAACTAAAAACACTTATATAGACACGGAATTAGTACTACCCATGCACATCCTTATTTTTCCCTCAGAAATCTGGGCAGAACAGTACACATTATACACAGCATAATACGAGTAGTCATAGCTTTATGTTACTCAAGCAAGCATGCTCAGTGTACTGTTTACTCATTGCACCCAGCCTTGATTTCCCATACATGTTTCACAGATACCAAACCTCTAACTTCCTTTGTTTCCCATTGAGGTTTTGGACTGGTACCTGATGGCCTTGTGGCTCTTAAAGGCCATGCATGGGCCACAGTACACTAAATGATACACCAATTGGCCAGTGGGGTAGCAGTGTCAAATGCTTCTCCCACCACCCAAGACAAAGGAGTGAACTGTCCCAAGATATTCACTATCAGTAATTGCCCTGCATTCTGTCCTTAACTGGAGGTATCTGAAAGGGTTAGGAGAAGAGATAAGTTATTGCTGGTTGTCTTTCAGATTTAACATTACATCTTAACAGAACTATCCACTGTACATGGGTTTCAGATACTGCACTAGAAAAAAACACTAAGGCAGAGGCTGGAAATGTAAAGTGGAGTCTTAGAATAAATCAATGTTGATTTATTCTAATATAATTTTTAATGACTACTCTCTGTTAAAAAATAAAAAATCCAGGACAAATGCTAAGTCCAATGGGATTCTGGGATAGCAGACTTACACTGAGACTGACCTTAGCAACCAGGACGTATATTCACTTGACCTTCAAGGGAAGAGGATCTGCCTTTCTCTGCCCTTCCTCCTCCTTCCTATTAACTGGAGTGAGAACACAATGGCAGCTATCCTGGAATACAGAGTTGTAAGATAAGAATGGCAAGCAGTAAGAGGCAGCCTGGGTTCCCGACTCTGTAGAATCTTCATGCCAACCCTGGACTACCTACTGCTGGACACTTTACAAAAGAAAAAAACCTCCTATCTTGTTTCAGCCACCATTGTTTTATAGTCACACCTAATCCTAACTGATAGCTAAGAAATGCCTTTAAATTTTTCTAGAAAGCAGCTTGGTAACATGTATCAAGAATACTAAAAATGTTTAAACCCTATGAACCACTTTGAGTTTGAGGTATTTATCGTAAACAACCTGGAATGAGAAAAATGGATGTGTAAAGATGTTTACTGAAGATCTATTTATGATAGTAAAAATTAGAAGCAATCTAAATGTCCAAAAATGAGAACTTTGTTAAGTAAATATTATATTTAAATAGTTAAATATTGTGCAGCCATTAAAAAGTTTATGAAAAAGTTATTAATATGAAAACGCCCACATCATAATATGAAATGTGAAAAAATAGGCAGGATTAAAACAGCCTTTATACATGCAAGTTTTCACCTGTTACTAAAAAATCCACATATATAAAGGTATGAGTAAATAAACAAAAGACACAGAGAAAATACATGAAAATATTAACTAACAGTGATTATCTCTGGATAGTGAGATTTTATATATCTTCTTTATATTGACTATTTAACCCTGTAATTAACAAATAATTTCATTTGTAACCAGAAAAAAACAGAAATAAATTTCAAACTTCTTTCCTAGCACTTACCGGTTCTCTCTGGTGTTGACACTGCCCCCACTTCCATCCTCACAATTTCCCCGAGCACTCACATATGGGGAGTGGGGGCTGCAGGGCGCACCAGCCTCTGTGGCTTCTGCAATCGACCAAGAGCCACTAAAGGCTGTTAGACACAAGCAAGCCCTGCCCAGTTTTACCTTGGTGTTCTGTAGCAGAGCTAGTCCGTTGCAGGCATTTGCTAGAAGAAAGTCTCCACTCAAAATAGCTATTTTATTTCCAAAATGCATGTCTTTCAGTGGTCCATCAGAAGACTGCAATTCACTTAAATTTACTATTCCACGATGCACAAGGAGAGCGGTATGGATAAGTTCTGTGATCTCTGCCAAACTTCTTTGACTAAAACATAAAGGTAAGGCTTGTCAGAGAGTCAAGAATACTACCAGACTTCAGTTTTCAACAATAAAATATTTATAGATTAATCTTTTTTCAGTTGTTTCTTTTTAATAACTTCATTTAATTGAGATATAAATGGAACATAACATTTTATTAGTTTCAGGTATACAGCATAATGACTCAATATATATATATATTGTAAAATGATCACCCCAGTAAATCTAGTCAACATCTATCACCACATTTAGTTACACATTTTCCTTCTGATAAGAACTTTTAAGATCTACCCCCTTAACAACTTTTAAATATATAATGCAGCATTTTAACCATTATCACCATGCTATAGAACATGATCTATTCCCATGATTTATTTATTTTATAACTAGAGTTTGTACCTTTCAATCACCTACACCTATTTCATCTACCTCTGACCCCCCACCCCGCCTCTGACAACCACGAATCTGTTCTCTGTATCTATGAGTTCAGGTTTTTGTTGTTTTTAGATTCTACATATAAGTGAGATCATATGGTGTTTGTCTTTCTCTACTGTATGACTTATTTCACTTGGCATTTTGAAGTTTGTTGCTTTTTTTTTGAAGGTTGCAAATGTACTTTATTTCTTTAATTGTGCTATATTTTATTGGGTACACAGCCCTTTTACTTGGCATCAATTATGACTTGGTTTTAAAACAATTCTCTATTATACCAGCTGAGCTGATTACTGATCTCTTCATTCCTTTTGGGTAACTCTGCCAAAAGGGGGCAGGTTCCACTGTAGTCGAATTTGTATTGCTGTATATGTCCATATAGTTATCTCCACTAGCTAATATGGCACTACCATATATGTCATAAAAATCATGTATACATTTGTGATGGCTGTGCCTTGCCATTTTTTGCTGAATGCTTTGAACTCAGAGAAGACTTAATATGTTTTGGGCCAAGGGAAACACTGCAAAGCTAAAGACAGAACTGTAGCAAGTACAGCTGCTGCTCTGGTGCAACTCTGAGTCAAGCACCCTTGCTGAAGGACTTTCAGAAAGATTTTAATAAAGTAGTCTGGCATCTACACGTAAGCAAACCTTGACACCTTTCTTCTCTATAACATTCTCCACTCTCTGCCCCACCAGTCACCAGGAATACCAGAGCTGGCCAGTGGAGGGCTACCCTTCACATTCTCTTTACTTTATCCTCACTGTAACTTTACTATGTGTGTAACTTTACTATGTCTGTAACTTTAGGATTTCTGAGAATCCATACTAGTATCTAACAGAATTCCAATACAAGTGGGAATGTAATTTGTGCCAGATATTAAGCTAACCACTTTTATACATTACCTTATTTAATCCTAAATACAAAAGAAGAGTAAATTCATGGTTTAGAGTTAAATCTCATTACATGCTTCCGCAAATCACCAAGGACTTATATATGACTACTAAAAAGTTAAAGGAAAATATTTCTGTAAAAGGAGCTAACATTTAATATTATCCTTTAAAAGAGCAACTAAATGAAAGGAATAAAAACATATTTTATTAGTGCCCTACAAACGTTTTCTAGCTTGCAAACCCAATCACTATGAAAATTCGTATTGTTACATTTCACAAAGATTAAACAATGAGATTATGGGCAAGTATAAAACTCAAGATAGGTTAAGCATTGGACAAATCTTCCATGCAAGTTCAGCTTATACAAGTAACAACCAAGCAAGCAACAAATTGTAGTTGTTTTGAGTTATCCCAAGGATGAAAATGAATGATTGTGAGCTTTTAATAAAGACACCCGTAATCATAAAACAGCATTCACTAAATAAATAGCAATCTTTAAAAGCCACATGGCCAGAAACAACACAAACAAGGGCGATAATAAAAATGAAAACCCACCATCTGTGCTGTACCCACCATTTACGAAGAACTTTCACTTACAGTATCTACTTGTGATTCCAATGATAGCACGACTGGAGAGGTTAAACACCGGATTAAGAACATTCTCTTTATGCGGGACAATGAGTGACCAATGATAACTTAAAGTGTGTATGTACCTACCGAGTAGTAAATTAGTAGATGGGGTGGGGGACGAGATTACCAATGTTACCAACACCAGTGTGTGCCCACCAGAAATATGTGCCACTTTCATCCTTAGCACCACAGCAGAGAATTGTGCTGGAGAAAGTGTATGATGAGCAGACTTGACTCTTTTGTTCATAGTAACTGGGAAAAGTAATTGAGTTGTTTCCAAATCACTTGGTCAGAACAAAACCAAGGGAATGAGCCCAATCAAGAATCTAGATGACAGTTTTAATCCCGGATAACTGCGGGCAGATCCCTCAGACTCTCAGATGTTTGGTTTCCTCACTACTGAAAGGATAGGAACTGGAAACACAGTTCTTTCCAGTTCTAAGATTAAGTGATTTCAGTTCTAAAATTTAATATTTAGTTCTAAAATTCTAAGATGTGAGGGTTAGAAAATTACTTGGCAGTTAATAGTTTAGAAAAGACCAAATTATTGCTATTATCTGTACCTACTTTCCCACAGGAAATAGAAATAGATTGGTCATCTTGAAATCTGTCCTGTAACTTTACTTCTAAGATTTGTCATCAGATAAGCAACCCCGATCACACTGTGCAAGAGTCTATTTTGTGTGCAGTAAAGCAGCAGTATGAAAGATGCTGGGAATATTTTCTTCTCATTATCTTATTCCTATTTTAGCCATCTAAAGCAATCAAGTCAACTTTAAAAGTACCAGATTTAAAAAATTATCTTAAATAAAGGTCATTTTATGCACACATATTTCAGTATTTTTTATGCTAAATCTTGATTGAAAATGAGTCACAGATGAATGCCACTTATGTTAAGTAATCAGAGTAAGGAAGCAATTACCACTTTGGATGTAACCCAGAGGATTAATTGATGTTTTCACAAGAATTTTCACCAAATTACTTTCTTTCAATTGTATGTTAAACAACCTCATGTGTTTCTATCCATTTTCTTCCAACATTTCTATTTCTCCAAAATTTTTAGCATTCTTAGCTTTAGAAATAAGGATGGCAGACTCTGCTAGTTACCTATGCACTCTTTCCTTCCTCACTACCAATACACCTTTGTTATATTTGGAGTGACAATGTACTCAAAAACACTCGCCTTCCCAAGATCCCCTGAGGCCAGAAGTGATCACGCAGCACAGTCTGGCCAATGGGGGTAAGTAGCAGTTCCCTGGGTAAAGTTTCTGAGAAATCTGAGTTCCTGATATAAGGGGACAAATTCGGCTGCTCTGCTCCTTCCACCTTTTGGGCTTACCCCTTCTTGCTGCCCAACTGCCCAGAGGCCCAGTAGAGACCTAAGGATCCTACGTAGGGCTCCCAACCACAGAATGGCGATCAGGAGCAATGCAGGAGCCCGGGCCCCTGAGGACCTCTTTAAGTCGGCTCTGATGTGCCCATTTCTAGGCCTTTTGTTGTCTGAGATAAGTAAACACTGCACTGCTCTAAGTGTTGTTTGTTACAGTCCTTTTATTTGCAGCCAAATAAATTCCTGAAAGATGGTCAATAAAAACTGTACTACCACAAAATAGTGAAGATACTTCACATTCATGTTTCTGTACTCTGGTTTTAGTCACCTAACATGATCTTTTGAAGATAGTTCCATATATTACTTACAAATAGAGAAGCTCCACATTTTTTAAAAATAGAGAATCTCGTTTTATTTCATACCCTTCTCTACAAAGAGGTTCACTGTGCGGCTGTGGCATCAACTTTTGCTGCTGTAGGGTGAATGATAAAGTTATATTTGCTTACAGTTTTTTAAAGAATCAGCTTATGTGTCACTTCTATGAAGTCTGCCCTCAATTCCCCAGAGTTAACTCCTTCTGTGCTGGAAAGCGTCTGAACATAGCTCAGGCCATTTATTATCCTACACTGTGATTATTTTAGTCCCCTGCCTCCCTGCCACTTCTCTCCGTCACCGCACTGTAAACTGTCCTGCCCTACTTTCCTGGCTCCCTATAAATATTTGTTAAACAAGTAACTGTTTACTTGGCAATCAACTGTATAAGGTATTGGGGATTGTTTTTACTCTTAACAGTTTCAAAAGGGAAAGAATGACATAAACTTCAAAGTCAGGTTTACAGAATCAGAGATGGAAGTGACCCCAGAGGTCAACTAACCTCAATTAACCCCTTCCAGGGATGACTGATAACAAATTACACAGCCAAGGCTGCTGATGAATAGTTTTAATTATTAAAAATTGTTCCTAATATTAACTTGAAATCTCTCTAAATGCTTTACATTTTTATGACAGTGTTAAAATATGAGAAAGGTCAACTGTATTTCACTACACAGGCGAGGATGGTCAAAGACAGTGGGGTCTTCTTCCTTCTTACTCTTTATTTCTTCCTACTTTACTCCTTGCTTTCCTTCTTTTTTAAAAAAATTATTTATTTATTTATTTTTAGAGAGGAATGGAGGGAGAAAGAGAAGAAGAGAAACATCAATGTGTGGTTGCCTTTCACATACCCCCTAACCAGGGACCTGACCTACAACCCACACATGTGCCTTGACTGGGAATCAAACCAGTGATCCTTTGGTTGGCAGGCCAGCAGTCATCCCACTGAGACACACTAGCCAGGGCTGATTCTCTCTTTACCTTTAACCTTTGGCATTTACTTATGATGTGTCTTGGAGCGGGCCTCTGTGCATCCTTCTTGTTTGGGACTCTCTGTGCTTCCTGGAATTGTATGCTTACTTCCTTTACCAAATTAGGGAAATTTTCTTTCATTATTTTTTCACATAGATTTCCAACATTTTGTTCTTTCTCTTCTCCTTCTGGCACCCCTATAATGCAAATGTTGGACCTCTCGAAGTTGTCACAGAAGCCGCTTATACTATCTGCATATTTTTGGATTCTTTTTTCTTCTCATTGTTCTGATTTGTTGTTTTTTTCTTCCTCATGTTCCAAATAATTGATTTCATTCTTGGCTTCATCCACTCTACTGTTGTTTCCCTGTAAATGAC